ATAATATTGTTTAAGTAAACAAAAAGTACATTGCAAACAATTTCCAAAAACTCTGGCAGAGATATCTGACTGCTTGCACAGTCATCCAAAGTTCCTCTGCAACTTTGGGGCACCCATATTCAGCAGATAGGCCCATAGTACCTGGAAGACTTTTCAATGAAGCAAGAAATTTGAAAGACTATTCTGCCTATATTGACAGTTTGTCAGTCACTTTCCTGCAGAATGTCTGGCAGTTTCTTCTGTGAAGCAGGAACCCTGAAAGTCCATCCTGCCTTGTTTTTGACAAAATTGAGTAGTCACTTACCTTTGGGTCCTGCATGTCCAATTTATACAGCATACAGTCAAGCAATCAAGGATAAAGCAGTTTCTTGCCCATATGGTTAATCTTGCCACAATGAAAGCAAACTCCATAAGGACTTTCTTCCGATGCCCATCATCTCTGAAGTAAATTGGTGCTGCCAGGAGCAAATGTGTTTGATTGTCATGAAAAGTCCTAAGTTAACAAAACATTTCGACTGCCATATTCTGTAGGTCTTTGAATGGTTTGAATACCATCTGTCTAAAGTATATCTCTATATGATCTGGAAAACATACCTAACATATCTACAAATTTGATTGTTATTGATGACTAACAACTGACCTGTGTTTCTCGATTATACTAAATAGTTCATAATAATAACTTTCAAAACTAGAATTTTACCTTACATTTTTAAATGAACTGCCTAGGTACTATACCTTAAACAAGAGCAGAAACGTATATACAATATGTTGTAATAAAAATGACCTTAAATTGGTATCAATATCCAAGATTTCTTTAAACAAGAACAAAATCAAATACATTGTCATAAAATTGGCTTTGAAATTGTATCCATATACCAAAATCATGCCAAGGTGAAATATCTGAGACTAATAATTGTTTTTACCCTGTATTTCTATATTCCCCTAAATTATAGCAAACATCCACAACCCACAAAATAACCAAAAGTCTCCCACATCATTTATTGGGAATGTGGGCATAGTGTTCTCCAGATTGCTTCTGGCTGAATGTGGGTGAAGGCACCTTTAGGGTTCCCAGAGAAAAAAAATTAAGATAATGACCAAGCCCTGGGTAGATCAGTTAAAAACCTTTATTGGCAGATATCACCTGTCAAATTCAGGAAGTCTCCCTTGATCAAACCATGTCAACCTGGAACAAATGCACAGCCTCTTGTCTCCTGTGGAAACAAAAGCAAAGCTGCTTCTGCAAAGCATTTTTGATTTCCATTTGGCAAACACATTTTTGAAGTCTTTAAAGTTAAGGCATCCTTAAAATACCTAGGCTGATTTCTTTCCCAGTCCCTCTGTCAATCCCTGGTCTCTTAGTAGCTGTTCTTTGCTTTTCAGCAATCAGAAAAATTCAAAATCAACACAATAGCATACAGGATCCAGACTGCCTGTGTATTTCCCATCTCTGAGTGGCTTTTTTTAAAAATATTACTTTTACTGTCTCTTTAAAGACTATATTATTTTTTAAAACTCTTTCTATGGCTATCCATACCCTTTTTCTTTCTTTCTTAAAACATCGCACATTGTAAAACACACTGAAACCTGTTTAAAGGTTTTTTTCTCCCCATCTGGACCTCTTTTTAACTGCATATCTTTTACCTTTTATGACAGAACAAGCAAACTTTAGACTGTTAAACTACACCTGTATTTTCCTAGTGCTCTCTTGGCTGGCTCTTCCCACTCTCGGGCTGGGTCGTGAAAGCCAAGCCTAGAGCTCACAGTTCAGCCGGAGGCTCGAGACTAAGAACTGAATTAAACCTTTCTACTTACGAAAGCTGGTACCTGCATAGCCACAATCGGTTTTTACTTAGCTTGCCATTTCTAGTCATTTCTAGTTCTATTTTGTGCTGCTAGCTGAACAGCAGCATCTCTTTCAGGAGCGGTGTCTTTTTCCAGCTTTCTCGGGCTCTAGATGGATATCCAAGCCCCACAATAGCACACCATTATGTTGTGAATTGCTTTTGCTCTTTTGTCTTTTGTGGGGTCCAACACCTAGCTCCAAATAAATCACACGGAGGCTTATTCTCATTTTTGAATGTGCAGCCTTAGTTTGGCTTGTTGATAGCCAGCTTTTCCTAAATTAACCTGTCTACCTTTACCCTCTGGGCTTTTATCTTTCTTACTTCTGCATAGCTTACTTTCCTTCTGACGCTGCGGCTGTCTGGCCCTTGACTTCCTTCCCTCTTGTGCCCTTTTTGCTCCTCTTTCCTCGTTTCTCCTTCTATTTATACTCTCTGCCTGCCAGCCCCGCCCATCCTTGCTCCTGCCTTGCTATTGGCCGTTCAGCTCTTTATTTAGGACCACCAGGTGTTTTAGATAGGCACAGCAACAGCTTCACGGAGTTTTTTCTTTAAAATGCTGCATAAGCAAAAGTCACACACCTTGAAATAATATCCCCATCATTTTTGCGCATCCCTTGCTGGATACATATCTCCTCCCACTTCCGCACACGAGCCAGCCAATCCCCAACCTAGATCATGCGGGCTTTGCAAGCCTTTTCTTCCTTCCCCAGCTTCCACCCCACTGGAATGTTACCCGGCACATGCGCTCTCACACTTGTCTGTTCTACTCTCTAGCAGAGGACTTCGTGGAAACTGTGCCCAGCCTTCTCCTCCATCAGAAGACCGTAAGGCCTGTTGGGACAAAGATCCACAGTACCCGCAACCAGTGTAGATGCTCCCTGATGCTTACACCATTTGAAGGTTTCAGTGAATAACCTACATCTACTTAGTATGCATTATGAATACCCCAAATCTATCTCATCTTAGGAAAACCGCTGTGCTAGTTACCAGATGCTATGTCACAAATTGCTGCTCAAACTTAACCTGCTTTTTAAAAAAATCACTTGTTATTTCTATTTCTGAAGGAGAAAAATTCATACAGGGTGCAAGCAGTTGGTTTGCCGCTGCTTCGTGTCTGAGTCCTTGAGTGTAGGGCCCAAAGGCCCGGACTGAATCTTCTAAAGACATTTCCGTGACCCAGCCTTTCAGGGTCTCAGAGCATCCACTCCTTCATTAGAGAGAGGTCTTCAAGCTTAGCACACATACGGAAAGGATAGGGCATCAGACTCTGGTATTCACAAAAGGATGGCAGAGAACTTGCAGACATCCTTTAAATCCACCATGAGCACTGGGTAAGCATGAGAGACAGTGTTACTAGGTGGATAGGCGGTGTTGTCAGGAAGGAGGCCTTCTACTCACAGTCTGGATCTGCTGCTGGTCCCTGTGTGAGCTTGGGGGGTTTGCACTCTGGGATTCAGGCTTCCCCATTTACTCAATAAGAAGGTAGCAGCTTTTGATCTCTGCTGGCATTTGCATGCCTGAACTCTTCTTGCCTCGGTGAGTTTAAGAAGAGCCAGGCCTAAGTACCTGGAACCCGGCCTTCTGGAAACGTCCTTAGCACTGACCATGCCTGGTTCCTGACACGTAAGTGACAAAAAGTTGTGACTGAAACTCGGAAAGATCTGACACCAGGAGGAACTTTAAGGAATCCAAGGAGAAGGCTTAAGGGCCTGGGGATTCTCGGGTCTTTTCTATTTTTGCTATGGGCACACATCTTCAATCCCAGCACTCCAGAGACAGAGGCAGGTGGATCTCTGTGAGTTTGGGGCCAAACTGGTCTACTTATCAAGTTCCAGACCAGCCAGTGCTATGCGGTGAGATCTTGTCTATAAATAAATAACATGACTTAACAAGTCAGTAAGCAGCATTCCTCATGGCTTCCGCCTTGAGTTCCTGCTCTGACTCCCCTCAATGATGGACTGTGACCCAGAAGTATAGGCCAAAATTAATCCTTTCCACACTAAATTGCTTTTGGCCAGGGTCTTATCACAGCAACAGTGAAAACATTAGAACAAAGAAGATACCTTCAACCACCTAAAGCACACACACACACACACACACACACACACACACAAATGGTCCTACCTCCCAAAGGTTCTGCTACCTCCAAATAGCACCATCTGGGGACACATTGGTCTTTGGGAGACCTTCAATATCCAAACTGTATCTGTCAGGAACATTTCTCCCAGATGACTGTTATTCACATCAATTACTGGTAAGGGGAAAGAAAGTCTTAAACCGCGAACTCAGCTGTAGACGGTTGGTAAATTTTTTAGTTTGGGAGTTACATGCAGATTTATGTATAGGGCATGGGGAGGGTGTGTTGGGTCTACAGAGCCCACGTGCCACGCCACACACAACCATCAACTGTATTTATCTGGGTAGGTTGACACTCCCCAAACACTGCCTCCCACTCTTAATATTGCTGTCTCGATCCCATGATTGGCAAAGCTCTTGTCTCTAGCCAGGTGCCAGGGATTGGTGCATCCAAAACCAGCACTAGGGGCACACTCCCGGGATCCCATGCAAGCAACCGAATGAAACAGAACAACTCTCAACCCCTACAAATCCTCCCTTTAGGAGCATCGCCAGAAGATCTGAGTTCATCCAGTGTGATCATCTCGGGTGACGGATAGGGAAACTGGAGCCTACAAAGAGAAGAGATTTACAAAACGTCCGAGAGGAAAATGGACAAGAACACCATCTAGAACTCGCCGCTTCCAGGTCAGCATTCTTGATTCTATAGCTGAGGGCTGCCCCTCCTCGATGTGTCTGTCCTTCAGGAAATTCCCGACCGCCCGCCACCATTCCTTCCGCGCCAGGAATCCCCCAGGAGTTTGAGCTCTGTGGCGGGTTGTAAACTTCCTCCGCAGCTCTGCACCCACTCCTCAGCACCCTAAAAGAGAGGTGAGAAAGGAGAGAAAGTCCAGGACACCCCTGCGATAACTTGTAGCTTGTGGGTAGTGGGGTGGTGGCAGCAGGAGGAGGACCCGGCGGGTACACGCTGGCCCTTTAAGGGGGGGACGGAGCGCATGCGCGGCGTGGGCCAGAGTCGAGCCTGGTGGGCGGCGGGAGACGCAGGGGACCCGGCCGGCGGCAGCTGTGGCTTCTGCTTCGCCGAGCCGGGACGCCGCCATCGGTCGGTGGGCTGCACCTTCATAGGCTGCTGCTCCCCGGGGATCGGTGTACCGGCGCCTGCCAGGGATTTGTCATTCGCCGCCGCGGGCGGAGCCTACGGACCTGCCCTCGCACCCCGCTCGCCCAGCTCGGCTCAGCCTGGCCGCCGGAGCCCTAGCGCAGCATCCTCGGACTGCTCATGCTGCAGCTGGTGGCGAGAGGCTACCCTGCCGTTCAGTGACCTCAGCCTGGTCCCCGCGCGTCGCCCGAACCGCTCCCCACGATGGCTGAGCCTGGGGCCCCGCGTCCCGCTTTGGCTCGGCTGGGACCGCGCCGCGCCAGGTGCCCCCGGTACCCTCGCTGATCCGCTCCAGGCCGGGGATCGCAGGGCCCGGGAGCCCCGAGCGGTCGCCTCTCGGCCGCGCCCTTCCCCTCCGCCCTCTCCGTGCTGTGTTCCCCGGGCTAGGGGCTAGGGGACCTAGACAAAGCCCCACTTTGTGCGGGAGGCTGGCGTGGAATGTGCGCGGCGGCGCGCGCCCCCTCCCCGCCCCGCCAGCTGCCAGTCTTGGCTCCCGGAAGGGTCGCGACGGAGAAGTCACCCCCCCACCCCTGGCGCTACGCTCGCCCCTTACATCCCCTATCCCCTGGGTCCAGACTGTGAGCTCATGCGGGCCCCCTCACGCGCGCCAGTGTGAGTGTGCAAGTGTTTCGTAGAGGAATTTCTCTCCAAAACTGGGAGTGGGCACTGGTGCCTTGGGCCTCCTTTTCAGCGTTGCCGCGGAAGCTGTTTGGCCTCAGTCTCCCCACCCCCCGGGGCCCTCACTCTTCTCCTCTCAGCCATCCTAGATCGCTGCGAGTCATTGTTCTCTCTGCCAAATGGGGGTGCTTTATACAAGCTGCCAAGTTGGGGTGCGTTCTCTTCATCCCGTTTTCCAAACAAAACAGGGCTTCTAAGGCGGACCCTGGGCAACCCACCTGGCCATCCCTCCAGGTTGAAGCGCTGATTCTTTCTTACCGAATAGTATTTTATTGTACAGGAGCCACGCCCTGGTTTCTTAAAGGCGCCCGTCACTGTTTGGCCATGTGTTATCTCTTCAGCGGGAGTGTGGGAAACCTGTGAGGCACTTCATTTTCCCGCCTCCTGATATATCCTCCCACCCTCGTCGAGGATTTAGGGATGCCAGGCGGGAAGAAGGTGGTCCCGAGTGGCAGCAGCGGTGCCTCCCCGAACACAGCCACCGCTGCTGCAGCTGCTGCTGTCGCCCACTCTGGCATTAAACGTTTGGAGACCAGCGAAGGGGCCTCAGCACAGAGAGACGAGGAACCGGAGGAGGAAGGAGAAGAGGACCTACGAGATGGAGGTGTCCCTTTCTTCATCAACCGAGGTGGACTGCCGGTGGACGAGGCCACCTGGGAAAGAATGTGGAAGCATGTGGCCAAGATTCACCCGGACGGAGAGAAGCTGGCCCTGCGCATCCGTGGGGCCACGGACCTGCCCAAGGTAAGACATGAAGGGGGCAGGCACAATGAGGATGGGTTTTATTAACCTTGGAGCTAAGGAAATAACCCACACACATCTTGCTTCTGATGGATACAGTAGGGGACCGATGGTAAGGTAAGATTTAAAGTGTGTGTGTGTGTGTGTGTGTGTGTGTGTGTGTGTGCGCGCGCGCGCGTGCATGCGTGTGTGTGTGTGTGTGTGCGCGCGCGCGCACACGCGCGCGCGTGCGTGCCCTATCTCTAGGAGTCCCTCTCCCATGGCTTTCCCAGTAGGACCACAGATGAACTGGAGAACTCAAGTGGCTTGGCATCTTTTTGACTCAGGACATTTGACAAGCCAGAAAACTATGAGACTAGATGAATGACTGGGGAAGTATAGGACTTTGTATGGTGAGGAAATATTTTCATATATTATCTGCTGATTTGACCAGCAGCATTCCAAAGGAAGTTCCGTTTTGGGGTTCCCTTTCAAGATGAGAAGCTCACAAGGTACGAGGGAGGTGGCAGCGCTGGGACTCAGCGCCAGTCTTGGGGTTCAAGATGCTCAGCTCTGTTGGATGTCAGATGCAGGGGCATTCGCAGTGGCCCTGTGTGGGAGAGAGGAGCTAAGTGTTCTCCTGGATTGGCTGGTACTACTGTGCCACAACAGTGCCTCCCTGGTGTTGCTGAGGAAGGAGAGGCTCTGCCTCATTCATCTTTGTCTTCTTGAGGGCTCCTGTGTGCCTGGCACAGGGCGGGCACTTATGTGTTTGCTGAACGAAAGGACATTTGGGTTGTGCTGTGCTGTAGTGTGGGGTGCTATACTCGTGTGTGTGTGTGTGTGTGTGTGTGTGTGTGTGTGTGTGTGTGTATGCTCCATCTAAGGAAGCACTGCTCCGTGTGTTGAGGCCATTGGTCAAAAGTCAGGCCTAAGGCTTGGTCCTGAAGGAAGACTGGAGAATGGAGTTACTGATGTATGGAGACCAGGCCTGTTTCGCTTTTGCTGGGTTATTGGCATAGCTATCAGAAAATGGTTTTGGGGGAAAGATAATCTGAGGTTGAAGGTTGAGCTACTACTGCCTAATGTTTCCCAGGGGAAAAAGCTAGATTGACTTTGAATAACTACAGCATAGTCCTCTCATTTATTTAGCTAATCTGAGCTGAACATTGTTTCCACTTCTTATCCTTAAAATGAACACTGTGCCGAACATTCCAAAACACAAATTTGGGGATCCGGCTTTGGTTTTTGACCTTGGGATAAATTCCAGAACAAGAAAGTATGAGGGATTTAGGTGTTGTTTCGGATCACCTGCCTGCCTGTGTGAGCTCAAGGCAACCCCCTCCAGCCTGCTTGAGTCACAGTTTTCTTATCTGTAAAATGGGTTGGTGGTAGAGAGGGAGAAATGAGAAACTGGGACTATTGTGAGGAGAGAGGCGAGATGCCATCCGAAGTGTCTGTCTGATGAGGCCAGGGCTACGCATGCCCCACAGTATGGCCCTCGTGGTTCTGTCTGAATTGAACCAGAGAGTGGCAGAATGGTGACTGCTTTGGAGGACTCCAATCGTCAGTGTCCTCAATAGTGATTGGTCAGTAATGGAAGGATGTATTTGAAAGGACAGAGAGGAAACATGGAGACTGCAGTATAGCGAGACGGAGAGAATTTTGAAACTTCTCGCCTTTGGCCTTTGGGAAAGTATGGGCCTATGGTTGAGCACACAGGAAGTGTGAAGCTCAGCTGTAAACTTGGCCCGGGGAACCCTTAGGGCCAGGGGATTGGAGGAGCCTAGAGGCCGTGGAGAAGAGCAGCAGTATTGGGTGTCACACTGCGAGCTGCAGAAAGGCCTGAGCCTGGCCTGTCCCTTCCCTAGTGGCCTGCTGCAGAGGTCACACTGTGCACCATGGGCCTGGGAATGGTTTCTTAGGATACACAATTTGGCACACACCACTTGAGCCAAATATTGGGAGATTTCTCACAGGATGATCCATAATTTTTGGCATCTCTGCAGGAAAGGAAGAGATATGGGAACAGCAAGTCTGTGGCAGCTAGCAGGAGGAGCTGGGATGTGTTTCCCCCCTCCCTCAGCTTCCCATGTCCCCACCTGCCTTCCCTGGGCTTTACAGGCTAAGCCTCAGCAGGAAGCAGGGTCCACAGCAGCAAGGCAGTGAGGCAAAAGGCAGTGCTCTGCAGGGGAAGCCACCACAGTTCCTCACCCTTGCTAGCTCTCAACTACTTACGAGAGGAAGGTGGGCAGCGTCCTTGCCCGTCGGCATCCCCAGCTGTCAGTGGACCAGCGGCAATGCCCACTTCAGGGGGATGTTGAACCGATGATGGAAAGCATGTAACAGCTCGTTAGGTGAGCATCTAGTAGGTCCGCAGTGGCGCACGGAGTGAGCATGCAGCAAGCCACAAGAGCGATGCCAAACATCACAGTTTCTAGAAGAATCCAGAAGCCAGCAGCTCCTTTGTGAGAATCTCTCCTAATTGTTTCCAGCTGCCACGCCTTTTAAAAGGCCTGCAAGCACTTACCCAAACCCGACTGCTAAAGACCTAGCTGTGGCTTTGATCGCTGACCATCTGCAGATGGAAACCCAGACATCTCTAGAGGGCCAGAGAGCCCAGGGCAGTGGGTGCTTGACAGCCTTTGGCACACATCGGTAGCCAGGTGTTGGGCAGTGTTCTGAGGTGTCTGCTTGCGACAGCTCAGTGATGTCTCCAGGCAGGTTCTGTTGCTGCGCTTTCACGAGGAAGGTGCATTCACCAGTGAGGCATTCCGAGGCACTACTGTTCAGGGACGTCACTGAAACCACAGGACTGGACTCCATAGCACAGCCAGTTCTGTTCTGGCCATTGCTAAGTCCTTCTGACTCACCTCAGCCACAGGTTCCCCCACCTCCTCTAAGCCTTCTCAGTGTGCTGGGCTCAGGGACTCTACTAGTAGGATTATCCTCCGACCCTGTTCTGTCTGGTTCCTGTATCAAGCTTTGTCCTTGGTAGGATGCTTAGGATCTTGGGTCATTTTTGACTCTTCTTACACAGCAGCCTTCTCCATGGGCCCTCTGTGAGGCAGGCATCCATGATGCTTTTGTGGGTATCACCTGGTCCTGACTTGAGCCTGCTCCCAAATCTCTCTGCCTGAGCTTTGGCAAGTTGTCCTTCTGTGACCCCTCCCTGTCCAGAGTGGCTCGTGAGCAGGTGTGTTCCGTCATGGAGTTCCAGTTCCTGGAGCCGACTTACCGAATAGGGGTGACTTTGCTACACCGAATACCACCCGAGGTCATATACAGTACCGCTTATAGACGTTTACTAAGCTATTTCTGTCCTACCTTCCCACCCCCATACCCTCTACCAGGATGGCTAGCCAGCCCCTCGGACACTGCTAGCGTGCCTTGGGTGCAGAGTGATCAGGCGGATGAAGGCAGGGCCCATCCTGAGCTTGTCCGGGGCAGGTGGCCGTAAGTGACGGTGCCAGTTTGAGGATGGAAGGTGATGTGAAAGGGGAAGTAACTTCTCTGGCTGTGGTATCTGCTGCTGGGGATGGCCCAGACAGGAAGCAAAGGACGCTGAGAGAGGAGGGAAGAAAGACTCGCTAGACTGTCTCTGAGCCAGGGCCCTTCCTGCCTGCCTCCCCACAGTATCTGTGGAGACACACACAGTCCTCGTCTCTCACCCTCAGAAGCACCCCAGAGAGTGTGTGGTGATAGCTAGTGTGCCACTTCCCTTCCTGACAGAGCCTGACCACGGCAACTACAGTGTTTTAAAATCCTCTGTGGGCCCAGCCTTGGGACCACTGGACAGCCTACCAAGGCTAAGTCCTTTCTCCGCCATGCAGCCCCACCCCGAGTGTACTTAGGACCCTGATACTCCTTCCCTTTGCCCCCACCCTTACATTTATCTTAGGTGGCCAAATGGGCAAGCTCTGTGTGGCTTTGGAGGGCCCAGTGGCAGCCTACCGGGACAAGACAGAACACGTCAGTGAGATCTGAAATGGGCGGGGAACGGCTGTGTTTGAAACAGAGCCTGACCCACGCTATGTTCTCTCCACTGCCACACTCCTTGACAGTCTGGAAGTCCTGCCATGGAGACGGGTGACATCCCTTATGGAGCTTATATCTACCTGCCTGGGATAGATCCCCCGGCTTGAGGTACCACCTGATAGAATGGAACACTAAGAAAACCAGTTTTCATCTAGTGCTCAAGCCAGAGTGTATTAGTCTACTTTTCGTTGCTATAATGAAATACCTGAGGAGGACACTATTGAGGAAATGAGGTTTACTTAGCTTGCAGCCTCAGGGACTGGAGGGGCCTGTGTTGGTTCCGACGTGGTAAGGTCTCATGACAGTGGATGGCATCATACAAGAGCATGGCAGGCAGATCACACTGGAAGCGAGAAGCCAGCCGTAGGAAGGGGGAGCTGGTCTTGCCCCTTTGATGACAGCCCTGAGAACTGCCTTCTGCCTTTCCAAGGGCGTACCTCCAGTAGCCCAATACTTTGTCTAGAACCCACCAAGGACAGTGTCTAACACCTCTGCCGCATTCAAGCCACAGGCCAGAGTAAACCCCCAAACCCAAACAAATTAACTCCAGCACGGACACTCTTGTTAACATTAATAACGCATATTTTAAATTTAATATAGTCAGCGGATCCTCCTGTGTTTTCTAAAATGATTTAACAGCATAAAATTGGAAGGTCACCATATACTCCACATTAAAAGTACAGTCAGGTGTCAGGGATGGGAGGAGATTTGGGGAAGAAGGGTTCCCAGGGAAAGCGGCTCAGAGTTGGAGCCTCCCCCGGGTGTTGCTCTGGGGGGCTGGAAGCTCCAGGGTGCGCCGATCCACGTGACAGAGCTTTTTTCTCCATCTGTCCCTAGATTCCCATACCAAGTGTGCCTACTTTCCAGCCAACGACGCCCATCCCCGAGCGCCTGGAAGCTGTGCAGCGCTACATCAGGGAGCTGCAGTATCCTCTTGGGTCCAGGGCTATGGCCACCACTTAGTGACAGCCCCAAAGACCAAGTGTGGCCTGGAGAGGGATCCGCAGGGCCAGCTCCCTCCCAGCTGCAGAGGGGCCACTCACTGGCGTCTCTGGTCCCCGGGGCTGCCAAGGCTGCCTCTGAGTGCTGGATCCGCTCCAGCTTCTCCAGCACAAGCTTCCCCGTGAGCGGTGTGTGTGTGTGTGTGTGTGTGTGTGTGTGTGTGTGTGTGTAAGGAGAGAAGGGGGCTCCTAAGTACCTTAATGAGAAAAGGGGGTGTCAGCTGCTATCCATCCTGCCCCAGCCAAGGGACAGAAGCTGCTCTTTGGTGCTATTGCGGTGCTGGGTTTGGGAGGATGGGGGAGGGGAAAGGATCTTTTGCTCCAAGGTATAACATCTGCATCTTCAAGTTTTCTCCTAATTCTTGGCATTCTTCTTCCCTGGCAGCATGCCACCTACCTTTTTGCCTCTGCTCTGGGCGCCTGGAGCTTCTGCCCAAGAGCCATGTGTCCTGGGTCCTGTGTTCCGTACTTACTTGTTCCTGTGACTCACACATCTTACCTATAGCCGCCAGGACCACCACCACACGCGATGGGCTGGGCCCCTACCCCACATCAATCACTAATTAAGAAAATTTGCCACAGGCCATTCTGGAGGGGGCATTTTCTCAATTAAGGTTCCCCTTCCCAAATGACTCTAGCTTGTGTCACGCTGACATATAACTAGCTGGCACAGGGGAGGTGGTGGCCCCTCCAGCCTCCTTGGCCGTTTGGAAAACCCAGCACTGCCAGGAGCTGTCCCCAGCTAAGGCTGCTTTCTCAGCCCTACTGTGCGGGCTGCCCACTCAATGTCCTATCCTGAGACAGGAAGACAGGAGAGAACAAGTGAGACTTCCAGAGAGTGAGGAGAGGAGCTATGAGAGCCAGGAGAACCCCCGTGCTGTACCCTATCCCCTCTTCCCAGAGAACAAGTCCTAAGCATCCCTCATGCGGCTTTGTGGCAGATGTTCTAAGGAGTCCTTCTGTAGCCACCCTAGGGTCTGGGTGGCAGCCAAGGGAACCAAGCCAGGAAGCCCTTAACCACTGTCCCCAGGTACAATCACACAGGGACGCAGTTCTTTGAAATTAAGAAGAGCAGACCTCTGACAGGGTAAGTACCGGGCCTCCTTGCCTGGGATCTCAGGGTTTCCCCTATCTCCTACTGGGTTGGATCCCACTAGGGAACCTTGGTGGTTTGCCTTAGAGTGACAGCTTAAGAAGTTAAGCAGGGACTTTCCTGAGAAAGGATGGGGGAAGGGCGCTACCCTGGGAAAGGAAATCCCAATGAGATAGCCACCCAAGGTTGATGCAAGGGAAACTCAGCCCAGCTAGTAGGGCAGCCCTCCTCCCCAGCTTGCCTGGTTGGGGGTAGACTGATGCTAAGGACAGGGAGTGGATGGGGTAAGCAGCCAGGGCCCTTCCCCTTTTTTCCCTGAAGCCTCCCATGCACTTTGCACTTCATGGTGCCTATATCCTTACCGAGTTTGCCCTGCATTCTTCTGGTCATGAAGTAGAAAGTCCAGTGTCCAAGCACCAGATCCCACAAAAAAAACAAAACAAAAAAGCCTGCTTCTCTCACTCCCTAGCCCGTCATGACTCAGCATGTAGACTCGGCATGTAGACTCAGCATGCAGACCGAATCTCTTGTTCTAAACAGTTTGTTTTACGTTGCTTATTTACTTAATTGGGGCAGGGGGGGGTGATGCCCTGAGTTGTTTATTCATTTGTTTAATTGGCCCATCTAGAAACCCTTGGGTTGAACCCACCTTCTCTGACCCCAGGCTCTGCTCTTGTCCTTCAGTTGCTGCTGGGCTGGTGACCCATTCCATCCCGCCATAGCTCCATAGCGTACAGGGGTCCCAGGCAAAGCCAGTGGCCAAGCTGAGTCCCCAGACCTGGAGGACAGGGTTTTTAAATGCCCTAAGGTTTTTTTGCCAGGTGGTGGTGGCTCATGCCTTTAGTCCCAGAACTTGGGAGGCAGAAGCAGGCAGATACTCTGAGTTCAAGGCTAGCCTGTTTTACCGAATGAGTTCCAGGACAAACAGGGCTGGCTACACAGAGAAAGCCTGCCTCGAAAAAAAAGAAAGTTAAGCACACAGGGACAGCTGTCCTGAGATCCTACATCCAGGCTGCAGAGAGTACTTTCCATCAGTTAGCAAGTTCTTTGGACAGCTGTGGTTAGATGAGGAGTGTTTAGTGTGCTCAGGAAGGGATAGCATCCATGTTGAGCTTCTCCCCTCCCCCAGCCCCATTGCCCCGGGAGAAGGCACAAGGCTCTGTACTGCCTCCATTCCTGCCGCCTTCCCCTAGAAGTCTTTGAGCAGGGGCCAGACCAGGGAGGAGAAAGTGAGTGGAGGGAAATGGCAGAGAGAGTGGGCTTGCTTCCTGAGCTCCAGGGCCTGCCTCCTCATCCCCTCAGACTCTAGACTGGGGAGGGGGGAAGAAACCCCAGGGCTGGGAGTACAGTGGCTTGGAGGGAAGTCTCTGCCCAGTGGGCAGGAGACCAGCTCTGCCTCCCTTTCTCATAGGCTGATGGACCTGGCCAAGGAAATGACCAAAGAGGCTCTGCCAATCAAATGCCTGGAAGCTGTGATCCTGGGAATGTATCCTTCCTTGAGCCTGGGAGAGTCTGGTCTGAGAGGCCCAGCCTTGGCTGCCTGCTATGGAATGGGAGGGTCCTGGACTCCCTCTGGTTCCCAGCATGAAGCAGCCTCCCAAGGAGGAGGAAACTCTGCAAAAGAGAAGGTTCTTGGGGCGATAGCTGTCTTAGTGCCTCCTCCCTAACTTGCCAGGCCCACTGCATAACTCTGTTTCTTGAGTCCCTGTTAAAACTCCAAACCTGGGTTCAGTGTTATATCCTGGTTGTGCCATTTCTAAGTCTGGGAGAAGCAGCAGGGAGGCCCACTGTTGGCACATCTAGATGGCGCTGATTTATAGAGAAGACAGATGGGGTCTTGGAAGCCGAACTGCCGGCAGAGATGCACAGGGTGTCTCAGCCATCCCCCCAAGGGCAGAGATGCACCTAGAAAGACTGACAATCCCCCCAAGAGAAGCAGCCCTCTGCAGGGACCCCAGTCAGGGCTGGGGCGGGAGACAGGTACTTGTGACCAGTTTATTAGGGGTTCTTTGGCACACAGGGCTTTCCCCGGGCCTCTCCTTAACTCACTGATTGACCAGTTACCTCACCAACAGCATGCCCACCCTGGAACGCTTCCCCATCAGCTTCAAGACCTATTTCTCAGGGAACTACTTCCGCCACATTGTGCTGGGGGTGAACTTTGGGGGCCGCTACGGAGCCCTGGGCATGAGCCGGAGGGAGGACCTGATGTATAAACCCCCAGCCTTCCGCACACTCAGCGAGCTCGTGCTGGACTACGAGGCGGCCTATGGCCGCTGCTGGCACGTGCTGAAGAAGGTGAAGCTGGGCCAGTGTGTGTCCCACGACCCCCACAGCGTGGAGCAGATCGAATGGAAGCACTCCGTGCTGGACGTGGAGAGGCTGGGCCGGGAAGACTTTCGCAAGGAGCTGGAACGTCATGCCCGAGACATGCGTCTCAAGGTTAGAACCAGCAGTGGTCCCCAGAGCCAGTGTCACCTGCTGCTTCCTCATAGGCTCCCCCGCCATGCTTGCACGGGCTTGGCCTGACCAGTAGATATTGCCTGAGAATGACTCAGGATCAGGCATTACTCAAGAACTCTACTCTAGAAGGAGGAAGCAGTGGGCTGTGTTTGCAGTCATGGGTCTTTGACATGTGAAGGACAGGGACCCGGTACTCTGGGTCTGGGTGCTTTTAATGGAAGAAGCAGTGCCTGGCCTACCAGAATGTGTCAGGGTAGGATAGTGAGCAGCCCCCACCTCCCGGGTCCATCCTGACTCCTGAGTCCCTGAGCTCCTGCCCTCAGTGAAGGACCAGGAGATCAGCAGAAAGGGGAAGGGCACCTATGAGGAAGACAGGGAGCTTGGCAGCTCCTCCCCATCTTCCCACTCATCGGGTGCTGCAGATTGGAGGAATCTCCTGGACCAAGAACAGCAGACCAAGACCCTGAGGTGTTGGCTCCCACATCCTTCTAGCAGAAGAGATTGGGGAGGGGGCTCTCAGTCTCCCTGGACCAGAGATGCCTTTCCTGGGGCCTGCCAGGGCTCTCACTGGAGTGGTCAGCCCCTCTCTGTTATGCAGCCCTACGGCACTGTGACCTGCACCTTCAGATCCCTGCGGCAACCTTGTCTTTCCCTAGGGTGGCCCAGTGACAGCTCCTACACTATGTTCAGAACCCTCAGGGAGTAGACAGCCCTACCAAGGATCTGTTGCCCTGGTGGTTGAAGTGCCAGGGATGACCCAGAGACAGGGCAAAGGCCCCCGAGGCTTGGAGTGCAGCAGTGCCCAGGGCAGCCCAGGGACGGTGGCTCCCGGCAGAGCAGTGTGGGCCATGGGGCAGCCCAGAACTTGCTTTTGTTTCCTCCTGCCCATCCAGATTGGCAAGGGGACAGGCCCTCCCTCTCCCACCAAGGACCGGAAGAAGGACGTTTCCTCCCCACAGAGGGCCCAGTCTAGCCCCCACCGCAGGAACAGCCGCAGTGAGCGACGGTGAGAGAGGAGACCCAGAAAGACCTCGTTCCCCTTCCTCTCCTCTTCCTGGTCCCTCTTCGCTCCTCCCTTCTCCTCCCCATCCATTCCTCTTTGAGAAGTCACTTGGGATGATGGATCCGATCCACGTGTTGAGTATGTGTTGACATGGCCTGCAGCAATGTGGTGCCATTTCCCCAAAGAAAACACCCCTCGGCTGTCTTCGGTTACCCTGGCCAGAAGGTCTGAAGGAGGCAGCAGAATGGACTAATGAGAGAGGGTGAGCCCAATGGGACTCACACAAGGCCCTGAGCTCTCCTGCAGTTTACTGGAGGGGCTCGTCTATGATCCAAGGCTGCACAGCCAGGAGAGAAGGCTTAGAAAGCAACTTTGGCCCCTGTGGTCTGGGTTTTTGTCTGTGTTCAAATGGCAAGATTTGCTATTTAAATACCAGGCCTCTCACTCTGATTCCCTCTCCCACATACCATTCTGGCCCTTCCTTGGTTTAAGCATAATTGTCCTTCTGAAGTCACCTGTCTGCTATGAAGTGAGGGGTGCTGAGCGGAACTCTGGCGCTAAAATACCCATCACCCTGGCTTTGATCTAGGAGGCTTTTGTAGGGAACCAGTTCTGGGCTGTACTTGAAACTGTTACCCACAAACTGTCAGTCTAGTAATTGTCATCAAAGAGCAAGAGGCTGTGTGACACAGGGGATCATCTAGGACACCCCAGGGTGGCTGGCTGAGGTTCCTGAAAGACTCCCCACACCCGCTGCTGCTGCTGTTGTAAAGACCCCTTAGAGGAGGGAAGCCCTGGCTCCCTCCCTCCAGGAGTAATCACTCACTCCTCTTCCTCACCCTCTGTTTCCTCCTGCAGGCCTTCAGGGGAGAAGAAGCCGGCAGAGCCCAAAGCCATGCCAGACCTCAATGGGTACCAGATCCGGGTGTGAGGCAGATGCCAGCACCCCCAGGCCTCCTCTGCTTCTGGAGGCCCTGACCTACCTACTTTGTTCAGGCAGGGGCTGGTGCTGGGCTGGGCTGGGCGGTGAGAGGCAGGAAGGATGCCTCGCAAGTCAGCCCCAGGTGACTTTTCCTCTCGTGGAGTCAGGCGCCTAACTTTGGGCCAAGAAGCAGTTAGTATTTTATTTGGAGTTTTAGCTCCACAGTTGATGTTTAAGGTGTTTGGCGGAAAAGACATGGATATGCTGGTTGCTGTCAAAGCGTGCTCTCTAAGTACTGTGTGTCTTGGGAAGAAGGACTTGCTGGTTCCATGGCTCCTCGTTTCAGCAGTGATCGGGGTTGGTGAGCCTCGCCAGCCTGTGGGATTAGGGTGGGATGGGATAGGGATGGAGAATCATGACCCAGGGAAAGGGAAGCAGGGTAGGGGTGCCCCGAAAAAGCTCCATTTATTCCTCAAATCAGGAACTTGGCAGAGAACACATCTACCTACGGTGGAAGCCTATGGCCCAGGAGAGCCCTGGGGTCAGTGTGACTCTTTAGAAAACACTGTGCCGCCCCCAACACACACACACACACACACACACACACACACACACACACACACACACACACACGCACGCACACGTCACCATGGCCAGCACCACAGGATTAGGCTCTGGGTGAACCAGGAGAGACCATGCAGGGAAGAGTTCCTGGCCCCCAGCACATCTGCTGGTTTAGTCTAATCTTGGACTATTGCTGAAGAGCTGGACTTTGTCGAGCCCAGAACTGCACAGGGGACACCATTGACCTTGAGAAACTGACTGTGCATGGGGTAGTTGAGTGGGGCTCTCTAGATGTCTGAGTGGGCTCTTCTCTCCCGTTCTAGTAATCTCAGCCCTTGCTGGGGAAACAACACCAGACCAGGATGCTTATACCCCAGGCCTTAGCTACCCATTTAGGCTTGGGGTAGCAGCCAACTTGAGCAGTTCCATGGGGCACCGGCAGGGAGGAGGTCAGGAAGCAGGAGTTGTCTGTCTCCTGGCCCTCAGGCAAGAGATCCCTGATGGGAGAGTGAGGTGTGGAGAGGGGCTGTCAGGACTGGGACAGGAGAGACAGCCCAGGAGTTGGGCGTGTAAGTGAGAAGTGTGTGAGGCAGTTCAAGAGAGGGCTGTGTGGGGACCAAGTTCCCTGCAGCACAGACAGTGCTCGGCAGGTTGCTGGAGGCTCTAAGTGACGAGGATCGCAGGGTGAGGAGACCTTGAGGGGGCTTTCCTGAGAGGCAGAGTCAGCCGGAGCAGCTGCAGTGTGGCTGCAGAGGGTTGAGGGCGTGGATAAGGGTACCAGAACTAGGAACTCAAATGCAGAAAGTGAGGAAGGGTTCTGGGAGGGGACTGTGCCCAGGAAAGAGCTTATCCCATTAAAGTGGGCTGCTGTGTCCTGCTGTTCCCACAGTGCAGACCCTAAGAGGTGGTTGGGGGGAGGGGATGTTTTGCTCTGTTCTTTTTGTTAAGGCCAGGACTCTGAACTGGAACGTGAATTGTAATTTTTTTAAGTTAACCATCAGTGCAAGGTGAGAGAGTACCAGCCTGCAACCTCCGGGGTAGGAAGCTTGGGCTGGTTGGGCGGCGACTCCTGCTGCACTGTGGATGGAAATGTGACAGTTTTAAGTTTCCCGGAGGCAGAAAGGGCCCACTCCCTGTGTCGTCCCCCTTATCCCACCCTGCAGAGATCATGTGTGGGGTTGCTGTTTCACCAGAGGGAATGCAGTAGGATGGAATGGTGACGCTCTTGCCTGCCTGAAAATGGATGGTGGCTGGAATCAGAGGAGGGGGCGGGGATGCCTTTGCTGGTGACAAATCACATAGAGGCTGGCTGCCCATCACACCAGCAGCTCCTAGGCCCAGAGCTAGGCCCACGAACCCAGCACAGGCACCACGGAAGGCCAACTGCTTAGTCCCTTGTCTCACCCGGCCAGTTCCATGGCTGGAGCTCCAAAGGGTCGGGACACTATTTGATCCACCTCAGAGTTCAGGGAGTAGAGACAGTGGTCCCCATGCTCCCATGCCCATTTGAGAGGTACGAGGCTGGACAAGATCTTTTCTGACTGTGAATGTGGCTGCTTATCCATAGCCCTGTATGTCTCTGGGAACCCCAAGATGTGACAGAGTATGGGAGGCAGAGGTGTGAGGGAAGCTTAGAGGTGTCAGGTAAACTTAGAGAAGAGCTCCAGGTCCCAGAGCCTTAGGACAGTGGCTCTGAGCTGTTCCTTCTCTGAGGCCCAGGGGAGAAGGAAGCAGATGGAGGTTGGGCTTGTTCAGGCTGTGGGGGAGCAGCTGATGGCCGGCTGTAACCCTGCTGTTCACCCCTCCTGAGCTAAGGGCCTCCGGCCTGTGGAGACTGTCATAGGCCACAGTGGTGCTTTTTATTTTTTACTCTTTCTCATATGTAGCAAGCCACCCTCCCCTCCAGGACCGTCTGCACGGGCTGCGCTTTCTGGGGCTGGCCTTGCAGTGTGGTTTCTGGGGAGGCAAAGGAGGGGACGTTGGGGCCTTAGTCACCATCCATGGCGTCACTTCATCTCACTTCCTATGGGGACGGGGACCTGGCAGGTGTGACCCAGACTTCCTGACTCAGGCCTGCCTTTCAGCTTCTCTGCCCCACCCTTGGGGGCTGCTGGCTGAGGAGGGTCAAGGTGAGGTCAGAGTAAGTTCCTTGGAGGAGGTGGCTGGGGCCAGACGTTCCCTGTGTTTGGTGTTGGCTCAGAACACTGGAAAGTTGGCTTCAGAGAACCTTCCTCTCCACCCAGCTCCCTGCCAGTCCTTTCCCTCCATAGCCTCACATTCCCATGCTCCTCTCATCCCTCACGCCAGCCGCTCATCCACGGTGGGCACGGCCAAGTGAGCAGAGCAGCAGCCCCCTGGAGCCAGACACGATGATGAAGCCTAGGGACCGGGTACTGAGGAGCAGACTCAGAAAATTGACCATGGCTGATGTCTAGTCCTTCCTGTCATTTCATGCCCCAGCCCCTTCCAGCTGGGATGACTTCCTGGCTCAGGGAAATAGGTCTAATGGTAACTGTAGTGCCCCGAGGTCTGTGTCCATGAACACCTGGCTTTCCTGCCTGGAATGGGTTCTGGCTTAACACATCACTGCCCCACCCTGACGTGCTGTCAGTGGTGTTAAGAGTGCAAGGATATGCAGGTGGGGACCCATAAGAGAGGGATAAAAGGCAAGCAGATTCTAGAGGGAGTAGATGGGAGCTAAGGATTAACCCTGCCAGGTATCTCAGCCTCCGGCCAGCATCTCCAGGCAGGTGGGGCTGCCACAGTGCTAGCTAGCTGCTTGGTGCTTTGGGGCCCCAAGCCTCCTTGTTAAGTCTAAAAAGAAGTCTGGATACAGTCGACCCCTGGGCCACTGATGATGGACCATCCACCCCGTGTTTTGTTCAGTTGATGTGTTGTCCTAGATGTCATTATCCCTGTCTTTGTATCAGTATTACCCCCGCCTTTCAGCACAGTTTGTCTCATTCCTTTCTCACTTTCCCCACAAAATGAATAAAGTCTCCCAGCTCCTGTTGTATGGGCTGGCAGAAACCACGCGAACGCTTGTCTGTTTCACTTTGGGAGCTGGAGCCCAAGCCCATTCCCACACCCGTCGGCCCCCTGCTTGCAGGAAGAAGCCAAGATCCTAAGCAGATGGGAGGAGCACAGAAGAGTGGGGAGCAGGAAGCCTCCTAGCCCTGGCAAGCCACAGTGGCGGTGGGGTGGCGTTTCTGGATTCTGACCCGGACCCTGTCAAAAGCTATTCAGCTCTTGCTAGCCCTAATCTGGGATTAGGTTTCCCATCCTGCCCGGAGGGAACTCACACAACTCCCAGGATATAGCTGGCCCTCCACAGTCAATCAGGACAAAGAGGGAAGTCAGTTCATTTCAGGAAGCCGCAGCAGCAGGGACCTGAAGTTGCCCAGCCACGGCTTTGGGAAAACCTCTGGACCCACCACTGTCCTCTCCTCTGTCCTTTGACGCTGAACCTCTTACCCACCCACACTAAGGCAAGTGCAAGCACTGAAAACCAAACCAACACACGTAGGAATTCTCACTTAGAGCATTTGTCATTAAGAGTGCTGTGATGGCCAGGCTTGGGGTCAGCATGGCAGCTAGGAAGGAGAAGCGATCTGCTAATATCTAGGGGTAGCTTGACTCCTTCATTTACACTGACCACTTAAATTGAGACAGTCTTGTTATCACCCAAAATTTAAAACACGGTTACATCAAGGAATCCGGATTTGTGGATATGGTGAATGCATGGTGTTCCATGGGGATGTACTGTTTGCATGTGTAAATCTAGCTACAGTGAAACACAGCAGAGGGCTTGGTAAGAAGCCCCAGTGGTACAGCCGCACAGTGGGCCTGGAACTGCTCTTGAACTGAGGGATAGGGGTGGCCTAGGGTGAGCCTAGGTCATCAGTGAATCAGGCTCATTGTGGTCACTGCTGGAGTGAGCCAGGCTCACCACGGTCACTGATTCGCCACTTTCATAGAATGCAGATACATTGTCGCTGCTGACCTCCAATTTCCTGGAGGAAGCATTTGCCTTACTCTCTGCTGCCTGGGCTATCCCAGGCATACAGCCTGGCTGTACCTCATTCAGACTCATGATTAAGTTGACACTTCCCAAAAGCCTTGAAGAGACAGATGGACTGACTCATCCTCCCCATCTGCCAGGACCTAGCACTGTGGAGGGCAGTGACAATGGGAAACAATTGTCGTACCAAGGACTGAGATTGACCCAGATGCAGGTTGCCTGACAACACTTAGAGTTTGCCAAGGGGGTGGAGAACCAGCTGTTAAGGCCCAACAGGTGGAGGAGTCAGACCATACATGACAACTCTTTGCAGTCCCTAGCCAGAGAGAATTTGCTAATGGAAAACAAAATTTCCAAGAATGCAAGTGTTAATAAGATATAAGACGTCATTCTCTCCAGAGCTAGCTGAAGTCCCACTCAGTAGGTCATAGGGATGGGGAATAGTACAGAAGAACCAACTTCCCTGCAAAACACATGGAATTTACATTCTTCTGCCCCAGTGTGATCTGCACCTCACCAGGCTTTCTAGATGTCCCTTGTCTTCAACAGTGCACCAGGATGTTGGGGATCCTGGGTCCCAGACAGCTCCTTCCTGGTAGAAACTAGAGATGGGCTTCCATGCCCTGGAAAAAGAGAAACTGCATTGCAAATCACTTAATACACCAGAACCAGTGAGTCACTGCATTCTAGCATTGGAACTGGAAAGAAAAAGCAAAATGAAGCTAGTTGATGGGATCCCTTCCCCATCTCCACCTGAAAGCTGTTTCTGAGCTCTTCCCAGCTCCTGCCCTACGATGGGCAACCGGCAAGAAAGCTTGGCTCCTCTGTTCCCCTGGGAAGGCTGTGTCTGAGAGCATAAGCCAGCAAGAAATTAAGCCATGATTCAAGACTCTGGGCATGTCACTGGGTCTCTGTTTCCTGGGGTGGAAGGGCTATCAAGACTACACCCCTACTGCCTCCTAGTGGGAGGGAAAATCACTCTGTAAAGTGTTTGTTGTGCAAGCATGAGTATCTGAGTTGAACCCTTAAAACCAACATAAAACTGGGCACGGTGGCACAGTCTTGTAATCCCAGCACTGGGAAGCAGAAAGGATCCCTGGAGCTCACTGGCCAGTCTGTCTAGACTACTTAGTATGTCCTAAGCCAGTGAGCGACCCTGTCTCAAAAAGCAGGGTGGATGGACCCTGAAGGATGACACCCACAGTTGATCTCTGGTCCCCACATGCATGCACATACACATTCGCAAGCACCCACACACACATACATTCAGTGGAAGCTCAGTGTAAACTATTAACCATGGAGGCCCGAGGGATCCTTCATGCAGTAAAAAAAAAAAAAAAAAAAAAAAAAAAAAAAGCACTAAAACTGTAAACTCAAAGCCCGGAGCTTTCAAATACTTCCCAGCCCATGGGACCAGTTATCCAACCTTCCTCTGGACAACTATCCTCAATCTACCAGAATTTTTTGGCATTCTTAGCATCCCTTTCTTGCCATGGTACAAGCAACATGCACCTAAAACACCCTCAGAAGTACTCTTGCAACTTCCTTTCACCAAGGGATGCAAACTCAAAGGTGAGGGGATTAAGTGATTTACCTAATCATCAACCAACCAGGCCAAGGGAAGGCACCCTAATCCTAATCCCTGGCTAGATTTTTTCTCCCTAAATCAGTGGATTCTGACCCAGAGTGCACCACAGCTCCAGGTGGCTTTAAATAATACCAAGTCCCTGGGGAGACACTGACTGGAGATTGAGTATGGGGCTGACAACTGTTGAGGTAAGACAGAAAACTATGGCTCATCTCACAAGGCCTTGGCTTGCTGTACCGCATGAGGAGACCAGAGGAGGACATAAGTACTGGCAGTTAGGGCCGGCAAGGAAGAGAAGTGTTTCCAATGACAGATGGCCCACAGCTTAGCCCTGGCTCCAGACTCCAAGAGATGATCAGAAATAGATACCCGGCAAAAGGCATCTGCTGCACAACACATATCGTGCCTCACACAGCTGCCACTGCTTTGACCAGGGACATCCTGCTTTCCACACCGACCCATCTGCAAACGTCTATGGTCTACAGACAGACACAGGCAGCAGATGGAGTAAGGGCACACAGCAGCTAAATTGGAACCCTTCCCTTCTCACAGGAGGACAGAGAAGGCAGCCGCACCCTGACTTCACTCAAACCTGTTCCTCCCAAGCCCCAGAGCACGGGCAAGATAAGAGACAGATGGCCAAATTTTCTATTCCCCATTTAGAGCTGAAGGCCCCACCCTCCCCTAAAGCCCTACCCCCAGGATCACAGCTCTTCAGAACCTCTCTCTGCCCACCACAACCTCCAGCTCTCTCAAATCCCATGCCTCAGAGTCCTAATGAAAAGACCAACAACAGAAGGGGCATGTAAGCCTTTATTTGGGTAAACGTTGCCTGGTTCTGCCGGCTACAGAGTGCAGCTTAAATGCCATTTAAGCCCCCACACTTCATTTCTAAAACAGAAACAAGTAAGAAACGAGGAGAAGATAAACCATCAAACCCTGGCACTCCACCTTCTTTAGCAGTTGAACCTGCGTACCCTGGCAGAGGGAATAATCATGGACCCTTGTCCTGAGAACCAACAGGGCACGGTCGTGAGACCTCAGGAGGTGCCCAGAGAGAGACGGTGAAAAGTGGGCTGTGGACAGACAGGCCTGGGGCTCAGACAGGCAAATGTCCAGTACGCAGAAAACAAAACCTAAAAATAGACACACACAGGAAAAGAAGTTCCCCCAGAACCTGAGCGAGAGAAGCTGAGAGTCAGCGATGCAGCAGCCTTGCAGCTGGGTCTTTGGCTTTCAAATGAAGGAAAGGAAATAAGGCTCTGGCCCAGCATCCCTAGCCACAGCCTCGCAGCAACCCACTCCAGTCCCCAGGGGAAACAGAGCGGACAACCAGCAAGGGCCAGCAGGCACTGAGTTAAAGCTATATGAGACTATGCCCCAGCAATGAGTAAGGCATGCAGGTGACACGGTATGGCCTACAGGGGTCTTGAGTAGAGTCCCAGGTTTGGGGAGGAACGGCAGAGCAAATCTGCAAGCACTGCCACCCTGAGTTCTTGGAGCTAGTTTGCCCAAAGCCAGGCTTCTGTTGAGATGGTTTGGACTGAGCTACACAGCAGGATTCTCTCGAGAGAAACTAGAAGGGAGCAAGGAAGGCAGGAGGAGGTGGGGTGAGGGAGGGGAATGAAATGGAGAAAAACTCTGAGGTGTGCAGGGTCGGAGAACAAGGCTCCGGGGCTCCAGTCCTGGTGAAGGCAGCTGTAGAGCCTCTTGCTCTTTCTACCGGGACTCGAACTCTTGCCCAGTTCTGCAGAGTCCAGTGAGATTACAGTTCCATAAAGGTTCATTCTCCTTATCCTTAAAAGGCTTTAAACTTCACACCACTGTACCAGCCCACTGAACCCCAATACGAGACTTCAAACTGCCTTGCTCAGAGAAGTCCTACCAAAATCATTCAGGTCTCAGGAGCTCTGGTGTTTGCTGTGTCCCTGCCTGCTGCTCTAGGCTGTGGGCCCGTCTGTGTCAGAAGTAACAAGTGCGCCCAGGCTGCCTAGATGACTGGCTAATGAAACTCAGAGGGTAAAGGGCCCACACCTGCTGCCTCCGGCAGCACACAGCTACTGTGTCATGGTCTCAGCCTGCCCCTACCTCAGCACCTCATGGTGGCACATGAACTAGGCAGAGCAGGCCTGGCTGAGCCAGGCAGCCCCCCACCCCCAGAGAATTCACACTTTACACACACCTTGCATGTGCATACCAGAACCCAAGGGCAACAAAGGGATGGGAAAGTTAGGTCAGAGGGTGCCACCAAGAAATGGCTTGAAAGCAAATAACCAATGAGATCAATAACTCCCGCAACCCTGGTCATTAAAAATCAATGGGGGAGGGGGCTCTGGGTACATGGAAGGAAGGAGAACGCTTTCCACCTCTCCCAGGACCGCCTAGCGTGTGGCACAGGATTAGGAAGAGGTTGGGGCAGGACGTGGACAG